AAATTAACTAAACTAAAAACTATGTACCTTTAATTAAATATATAAATATTTTTAACAGCAAGAGGTTTCAATTTTTTGCATCAGTTTTTAGGTTTTTTTTTTCCCTCCCTTGAATTTTTCTATGAGATTTATATTTTTCAAGCTTGAGATTATTAAAATTATATTAATAAAATAATATAAAGAAGAGAGTCCAAATAAGAATATTTTAGTGCATTCATAGGTGATACTACACTTTTTATTATGCAGAGCAATTTGAAACATGTTTTTATTTTCATATTAAGGGTTTAACATATTTAAATTTCGGTGGTTATATAAGTTTGTTGATAAAATAAAAGAATATTTGTTCTCTAGCAATTTGGTGTATTTCGCCAGTGAATTAGCCCTAATTATTATTTATTAGTTCTAAATCATTAAATAAAAATTTTATCAAATATTTGTGGTGTGGTAATTTAAATAAATAAATTTATTAAACAACTATCCTATAATAATTTGAATAAAACAACTAATTATTATATCAAAGGAGGTTATTCTTGAAGAGTAGTGTATGGTAACTAGTCGTTGATATGCTAAAATAGTTGTATTTTTGGGTATGCTATTGTATCTACTTTTTTATTTTATATAGTTAAAAGAGAACTTAAGAGAATTAATATGAAAGAATATCAAAAAAAAGAGAATAAGATAGAAGATCTAAATCTTTTACCTGCAAGTTTAATAGATAAAACTGAAAAAATTGATGATGATGACCAAATTAAACCAAGCAAATTACAAGTAACAGCAAATCTAGTTGCAAGCTCAATTCTTTGGAGCCGTAGCCGTTGTCCTAAAAAAAAAACAAATTTCAAATATGATCAGTTACAGTTAGTCAGTCGTATGTATAATTTAGTTGAAGTAACCAAAAGAATAATTCATAGAATTTGTTAAGTAGCTACAAATTAATTAGTTAAAAGCACATTTAAAAATAAAGATTGTAACCATTCGCTAAAAAACAATTTTAAAATGAGGAGATATTGGAGATTTTGAATAAAGTCAAGCTCTTGCAAAAAAAAAAAAAATTCATTTAATATATACACTTTAAAGATAACATAAGCACAAAATTAAGATCAAAGATCTAAATAGACAATAGAGCTGCAAATTCAATAGAAAAAACTAAAGAAAATGGACAATGATAATCGAATTGCCAAACAAACTAGAAACAGCAACAGATCTACGAACCCAATTGCAAGCCAAACGGTGTCTGAAT